AGAGGTAACTCCATTTCCAGAGAAAAGTCAAAATGTTTTAAAACTATTTTATTCCAAAGTACAGCTCCGCGAAATACAATGTTTGTTTTTCCAAAATTAGTTTGATAAAAAGGTTGCCGAACTAAATTGTCATTTCTCGAATTGTATTTATTTTTATCTCTCAAGGTATATAAATTATGGAAAGAAACTGGGGAGGAATTTATTTTACATTTGTACATAAAACAAAGAGTATTAAAAAGATTGAGCTGAAATATATTAAAAACTTTAATTTCAGGCCTGGCATAGGTAAATCTGTCTTTAAGACGAGCAACATGCTTCTGCTGACAAGAAAGAGGTTTTAGTTTACTTTTATTGGCATTACACCAAGCAATACTTGCATAGTTTAAATGACAATGGATAAAGGAAAAATATAATTGTGTTAAACTTTGTTTATTTAAGGCATTTCTAGCCTTATATATTACTCCTATACTTTTAGCAATTTTGTTGTACAAAAAATTAGTGTGGTATTTCCAGCTAAGGTTTTCATCAACATGGACACCTAAAAAGTTAGTATTTATTTCTCTTTTTATTTGAATTTTGTCTATAAAAAGTAAGGGCAAGATAGGAGGCAGTAGTTTCTTTTTAGAAGTCAGATGAAAGAGTGGCCATTTTGTTTTATCCACATTTAGTAACAATTTATTCATTTTGAACCATTCACAAATTTTCTCTAATTCGATGTTAATAGTTTGCAATAATGTTAGAATACATTTATGCGATAAAAAAAGGTTAGTGTCATCAGCAAACATGACCGTCATTAAATTTGACGCTTTAGGGAGATCATTGATGTAGATTAAGAAAAGAAGAGGTCCGAGTATAGAACCCTGGGGAACTTCACAGGTTATATTTAATTAATTAGATGTACCACTTTCATTACTATAAACAAACTGTTTACGGTTGTTTAAATAACTTTTAAGTATCATTAAAACATTCCCTCTAATTCCATAGTATTCTATTTCTTATCAATCGTGTCAAACGCTTTTGATAAATCTATGAAAATTCCCAAAGTATATTGGGACTTCTCAAAAGATTCAGCTATACTGCGAGTAATTTGGAGTATTGCGTGTTCTGTCGAGTTATTTTTTTTGAAACCGAATTGATTGATATATAGTATATAATTTAAGGAAAAATGATTATAAATAACGTTATATAAAATTCTTTCTAAAACTTTAGAAAAAACAGAAAGAACAGAAATTGGGCGATAATTTATAACATTGGTTGGATCGTCTATCTTAAAAACCAGAGTGACTTTAATTATTTTTAAATGATCTGGAAATGTTCCCTGTTTTATTAAAGAATAAAAAACTTTAAATAGTACATATTTTAAGGGTTCATACGAGTCGATGACAACATTACCATTAATTCCATCGTGACCAACGGATTTTTTTATTTTAAGCATTTTGAAAGATTTTTCGAATTCTTTAAATGAAAGTTCATAAAATATTAAGGTTGATATTGGAAAATCATAAGCATCTATTTTGTTAATCACAAAAGGAATATTTTTGGCTAAATTAGGACCAACTGATACAAAATATATGTTTAATTCATCACATATCACAGTTGGATTAGAGGAAAAACTATCGTTAATTTTTAATGTTTTGGGTAGAGAGCAGTTTTTGTAATCCGCGTGCTAGTAAGTTTTCTTAGGATCTCCCAGATGCGTTTTGAGTTATTTTTGCTAATCTCAAGTAAATTAGAGTAGAACAATTTTTTTAAAATTTTCCTTTTTTTTTCAAATATTTTGGCATCATTTTGGTAAAGAATTTTTGTTTCTTCTGTTTTGGTTTTCAAATATTAAATATATAATTATAGCTTTGGGTTTTTTATTTACAGTAGATTTTGGAAAATTAACGTCATATAATTCATAAAAAGTTTAAAAAAATGATTCATAAACTAGATTAGCATCAAGAGGCTTCTACTTGTTTCCAATGAAGCAGAGATAATTGTTCTTTGAATGCTTTTAAATTCGCTGTAGCAAAAAAACGGTTTTTAAATGCTACTTTTTGTGGAGATAATTTGACTGCAGCAATTTTAATTGAGAAAAAAATAGGAAAGTGGTCAGAGATCACTTTTAATTATACTTTTTTTAAGCAATTTATTAAAAATATCGGTTGTTGTTATATTATCAATGAGGTAGCCGATGTTGCAGTTATTCTTGTTGGTTTATTAATTATAGAAAATGCGCCATGTTCAAATACATCGTTAAAAATTTTTATTTTATAATTAGTATGGTATTGAAAACAGTCCAAATTAATATTACCTATTAAGTAGTATAATTTCTTTTCGTAAATGCTTTTACTTAAAATATCTATAAAAATATATTTAAGTTTTCAATTGACCAAAGGGCGGTCGATAGCAGCAACTTACAACTAAATTCTTTTTTTTTTTAAAGGTTTCAATTTCAACTGTTAAAACCTCTTTATTGTCGTCAGAATTACTCATATCAGGCCTGATAATATACCTCAAGCATTCTTTTATACAGATTACTAAACCACCGTCTCGCTTTTTGTTTTGACGTTTTAAAGAAATTTTTTTAAAACCTGGTAAACAGGTGTTTGTATTAGAATTTGCGTTATCTGTGCTGCGCCAAGTTTTTGACATACAAATTAAACTAAAAGTACAAAGAGATTCTTTCATGTTTATGCAAAAATTTTCAAAATTTTTTGATAAGCTTCTTATGTTGATATGTAAAATGTTAAAATTATTAGAATTAAGAAGTTCTTTTATTTCATTGGAATAATGATAAGGGCAGCTGGTTCGAACAACAATTGCTTCCATAAAGTAATTTAAATCCGAATCCGATTCATGGTTTAGTAAAAAGTCATCAGTTTGAAAAAAATTAAATGATTTTAAATCAAAATTGTTGTTGTTATTCGAATCCTTTTTAATTTACTTTTTATTATTATACCTAATTGAATAAAAGAAGTTCTTTTAGAAATCACGCGTTATTAGTTTGTTATAAATAACTTACTTACCTTTTTATCTTAGTTCTTTAGCGTCTGTAAACAACTTTTTCCGTAGCGCGCTTGTTCTTTCACAAAAATCTTCGTTTATTAAAATGCGTTGATTCCAGAGTTTCAATTTAATATATTTATCAAGAATAGTTGTTCTGTCTTTAAAATTTAAAAATTTCACAACGACGGTTCTGTTTTTTTTTAATTTCAACTTCGTCAATTTTTCCCACTCGATGCGCCCGTTCATCGACAAAATTACCATCTAATTCGAGTTTTGTTTTTATAATTTGTTTAACTTTCTTTTCACAATCTTTCCAACTTTCGTTTTCAGATTCTTTAGTTCCGTTTATTCTTTAATTGTTACGCCTACTTCTATCTTTGAGCTCTGCCAATTTATCTTTCATGGTTTCTGTTACAATATTTTCTAAGTTACTTGAAATTTTGTGATCAGGTTTTGATACAAGTTCAACTAATTATTAGTTCAAGTTCAACTTTATCGTATTTATCGCTTATAAAATCTACACTTTTTTAATTCACTTATTTCTAGTTTAAGAGCCTTATTTTCATCATTTAATGAATTCACTTTGTTCTCCAAATTTTCTATTTTTTAATTAAAAATTTTAATAATTTTACTGTCGTGCATTTCTAAAATTTCTTTCAATTGAGCTATAGTAAAAATTTTTCCCATTTTAAACTTCTTAGCAATTAAAACACGTCCGTTCACGGTGAATATTGAGAATTGAGTGATATGATATTACTGATAAAGTAAATTTGAAAAAAAACATTAACAATGATAAGAATGTAATTTATGGTACTGTAATTCGCAATAATCAAGAACAAATCCTTCAATAACCATCAAGTAATAACACTGAACTGTGGTCTGAATGCCTTGGTGATCGCGATCATTTAAGTTTTTTAAACTAAGTTCTGTTCGCGTTAAAATTTTTTCTCTAACTTTAGTTCAAAAAGATTCACAAAAGCTTATTGTTTCTTTTTACACTAAAATTCTTCCTTATGATAAAAAAGTGATTCAATGTTTATTTAAAATCTGAAAATACTGAGTTCTGCTTTTGTTGCAACATCTGGAAATCGATTTTCAGATTCTGGTGGTGTGTCAGTGACGGATCCAGCATTTTTTGGTGTCTGAGATTCTTTTTTTCTTGAGATAACTTTCAGACATCGAGCAAACTTCAAACATTTGTATGTTTATACTCATGTCAAATAATGGTGCTTTGCAAAAAAAGGCAATGATTGGAAGCTGGGTACAAAAAAGCACTTAAACTTAATCTCCCCCCCCCCAATGTTAGGGGCATCAAGTTAATAAGATATTTTTTGTAATATTCTCAACTATACTTATATTCATCGATAAATTTTAAGTTTCATACTATTATCTCTTAGCGTTCAAAAATTATGACCATATAAAGTTTAAACCCCCTCAAATTGAGGGGGTTACAAATCTATTAATGGTGAAGATGATCTTTTCAAATTGCTTGAAGAAAATACCAACAAGCTTAGATCACGTGGTTTAGTAGACAAAGATGTTGCTGTGCTGTGGCAGATGAGGAGATAGATGAAGAGTCAAAAAATTTGCCTCCCAAAACCCAAAATTATCAGAGATTGCACGCGCAATAGATTTAAATTGAATGTTTTAAATGCCATTATTTTCAAAAAAAAAAAAAAAAGCAATTGAAAATGGTCGATTTTTTCAAAAAGTTGTAAAAAATTTTTTATTCTATTTTAAATTTGTTTTTTAAGAAAGTAACAGCCTCTTGTTCTAAAGTTTTGGAGGCTCTTTAAGTCTTTACTTCTTTTTTACTCTCTTCTTTTGTTAAAATTTGATAATAACCTGGTCACTTTAAAGGAGACTTTTAGTTACTCGAACTTTCGATAGTTCGAAGTAAATTCTTGTTCCCCTTGGAGGTTCGAATAACTGGGATTTTACTGTATATATATAATAAGCATAAAAATTGTTAGTATTTTCAATTATTTTTTTGTTAGAAAATTTTAGTATTTGTGATTAAAATAAGATTATACAAATATAATTGCTTTAAAAATCACAACTTTTTATAAGCTTATAAAATCACAACTTAGGTGAAATCTCGTTTCCGAGTTGAAGATGTAGCGACGCTGAATTCTCCTAAGGAACTTAGATTTGAAATGTCTTTATAACCTGAAAATCCTAAAGTCTGTTCTTTATCGGAGGTAGAATCGCTGGAAATTTTTTCCGTAGTTTGACTATCATTTTTAGAATGACCATCAGATTTTTGATCGATAGATTTGTATATCGCCATCGCCTAAAAAATATTTTTAACATAAATTACATTCAATGTAACGTTAAAGTAATTCAAATAATGTTTACACAGTTTTCAAATTTTTCCATCGTAAATAATATTTGAAATTTAACAGTTTAAAAACTCATTAAATAAATAACTCACGAGAAATTTGGACACCCAATTGGAAGTGTTTCTCAAGATAAACTCTTAAATATATTTTTTAAGGTAAATATAAATAAATCATAGTCTGTTGTTATTTATTTAAAAATAATAAAATTATGCATTTAAAACCACACAAGAAATCAGTTTTTAATAAAACTTTTAATTAAATATTTTTAGGGTGTTTAGAAAATATATTCTTGACTCATTTTTAGGGTGTTTAGAAAACATATTCTTGACTCATTTTTAGGGTGTTTAGAAAACATATTCTTGACTCATTTTTAGGGTGTTTAGAAAACGTATTCTTGACTCATTTTTAGGGTGTTTAGAAAACATATTCTTGACTCATTTTTAGGGTGTTTAGAAAACATATTCTTGATTTAGTTTTCACGCGGGTTGTCAAGAAGAAAAAATAAAAAATAAATTTATAACTTTTAAATTAAATAAATAACTTATTCTCAAAAGTAGCTTTAGTAGAATAATTACTATACTGTTATCTATACTTTAAAAAATATTTGATTTTTATTGATCTTAGTAAATTTAAGTTAATTTTAAAATAAAACCTAAACATCTTTGGATATAAAATGAGTAATACATAAAAAAAAAATTATACATTGAGCATAGAGAAATGATTTATTAATCGTGGACATAAAAACTAAGCATTGAAATCCTCGTTTGAAAGGTTTTTGCATACCACCAATGCAAATTTAAACATTGTTATTTTTTTTGTTAATAAGTAATAACATAGCCTAATTTTTTGCTTATTTTTAGCTATGGGCATGATATCTCAACACAGATCGAATGAAATTTGTGAATTTTTAAATAGTAGACATGCCTCGCTATAAAATAATAGGGATCCTCAAAGTTTCTCAAAAAAATTAAAATAGTAACGATTAAGAGAGTAAACCAATTGGATTTAGGAGCTTCATTGTTATATGGATATAATATATAAGCCAAAACCTCTATAACTGATGGGAAAACGAAGGAAGTGTGCAAAGATAGTTTCATCTAAGCAAACACGAGAACGCATTGACATATTTTGTTGCGCAGAGATGCTTAAAGAAATTTGGGCTAAAATCTTGACGACCAGTTCAAAAACCTAAATAAACCCAATATAAAAAAATTTGGAATAGGCAAAAAATTACTAAAACTTTAACAAGGATAACTGGAATAAATTAGTCATGTTTCTTGTAGCTTAAATCCATGTTTCTTGTAACTTAACTCCTTATGTTTCTTGTATTTAGCTCATTTATCTTTAGATTTGGAAGAAATTATTTATTTTAGAAGCTAAAAATTTTTTTTCGAAGAATCGTGAGTGAAGAACTGCCAATAGTCAAACAATGCAGTTATAAAAGATTTTTAGGTGTACAACATTATAATTCTGAAATTTGAAGATATTTTACAATATATAAACCTTAAGAGGAGATCTTTAGAGATCTAAACGAAATTCTTGTTATGTTAATCTAGAATATGGAATTTATATATATATATATATATATATATATATATATATATATATATATATATATATATATATATATATATATATGTTTTGTATATTTATGTATTGTGTTATTTTGTTATAGACTAGTATAATTATAGCTCTTTTGAGCCAACATAATTAATTTGGTTATTCTTTACAATTCCATCTGCTCCTTATTAGGAAAACCATGCATCTTTTAAGTATATCCTATATTTATTAAGAATCAGAGAGTTATCACATAACAGTCACAACCTTTGAGAAGAAATATAGAGAAACGACTTTATCTAATTTCTGATTGTGGATTCCGTTAATGAAATTTTTGATTTAAATGTGTAGTTAAACTAGTAGTTAATCGTGCTTCAACATTTTATTATAATTAAAGTTCATTTTTTAAAATCCAAATGAACAAAATCAGTTGACAGCTGACAGCTATTACTTGAAGCTGATTGCTATGATCGTTCCAATACTGAAAATCACTTCAGTATTTTGTGAACAATTTCTGAAAACTGTTCACACAGTCACAAGAGATAATGATGAACTGTTGAAGTATTCTTATAAATGAAATTTGAAACTTTAAATAAATTATATGAAATTTCCATCTTTCTTTCTTGAAAGTTTAGAACTGAGATTTAAAGTTTCAATTCTTCCAACTTAGAAACAATACCTTTTGTATATGAATATTTCCAAAACAACTCTTTTTTTCCAAAGAGATGTTTTGGGAATACTCACACAGATTATTTCCAAAACAAATCTTTGCAACTGAAAATATAATAAAACCTATACCTGAAAATATAGCAAAAATACAAATTTTATTTTTACATATTTACTATTTATCAAAGAAATCTTGGAAATTCTTCTTCATGAGATTATTTTTCATCAAAACCTCACTGATTTGAGTGGTTAGATGTTCACAAAAAAATCAGCTCTGTGTGGGATTATACCAATTATCTTTCCAAAGGCATAAAGCAATGGCATTTTAAAATGATTACATCATTACAGGTTTCCTTTAAGTTTTGCTTTGTTTATAAAAGTTTGATAGACATTCTATAGTTCTGAGCATTCTGCCCACTGAACTTATTGTCCCTTTGCAACAACAACAGTCTAAATATTGAAACCAATCAAAATAATAAATGAGAAAGGAAATTATTAAAAAACAATTGTGACTTACAAAAGTTTTAAAGCAAAATTGAACTGAAAATATTACAAAATAACTTACAGATAACTCTAGAAGACGATTAATGTGTTTGAGATTAAAAGCAATAAAAAATTTTGGTCAGGCTTATGATGGTCAGCCTTATGTTGGTCAGCCTTATGTTAGTCAGCCTTATGATAGCCAGCTTTATGATAGTCAGATTTATGATGGTCAGCCTTATGATGGTCAGCCTTATTATTTAAGCAAGGTTATAGCTATTTTCCTGATTTAGTTCAAAAACAGATAGAACTATAACTATGTTTAATCCAGTATTCATTTCATTTCTTTTACTTCAAGAAGTGCTTCTGAATCAAAAAAAGTTCATTATAACCTTTAGAGAATCCTAATGTCAAATAATTGTTTAATACTTAATATTTTGATTTGTTGTTGTTAATATTTGACATGTTTAATATTTTGAAAAGCTAACTTTTTTAAGCATTGATGACTAATTCATTTTTCCAATGATCTGAATACATTTTCTACAAAAAAGAAGTGGTTAGTGATAATTTGCTTTTATACTCTTCAGTATCAACAGTTTCAACAAGATCACAAGCCGCAGATTATGTTGCTTTTACTTTTACAAATGATTTTTCACAGTCAATGTCCATAAATGAAACCCTTTATAGTTTTTTGATTATTATCTTTTTCAACTTCTATATAGTTATAGTTGCATAAATTGTCTATTTAGAAAAAGGTAATTTTGTAAATTACAGTCTCATAGAATTTATAGAATTAAGAATACTTTCTCTTCTAAAATAAAAATTTTGCAGCGAGAATGGAAGAGACCATAAAGATAAGCATTTACGGAGATGGGTCCACAAACTGTTTTACCAAATTTTTTAGAGTTTGCTTTGAGGTTGAATTGTGACTTTTTTTGTCTTGGTTCAGACAACAAAAGCAAACTATTTATTTGTTTTCAGAGTAATTATGTTGCCTTTGCAGACACCTTGAACTATGTTTAGCAAATTTTTCTAACAAAATAAATTTAAATGAGTGATTCTCCCATATGTTGACACATCAACACCTGCAAATTCAAGAGAGATTATTATCACAACTTTCCCAGTGGTTCTTTAATGGTAAAGAGTATCAATGTGCTACCATGCCTAGTCTGTGACAAAGCATTTGAAAGAAAAAAAAGGGCATATTGAATTGGCCAGAGTTTTTCCAGATATGTCTCAATTAGAGAATTTTTAGATTGCTTTTGAAACAAGGAATAGCTGTAAATGTGATTAATACAAAGTAAGAACATATAAAAAGATTCATATATTTGTAGAATCACAGCAAGGAGCTCCAAAATAAAAAGACACATAATTGTAGAGTCACAGCGAGGAGCTTGAGTAAAATACAGTAAAAAAATCTAAAATACAGTAAAAAACTTTTGAGCATGTCACGACCTACTCAAGCTTAATTGCAGCAAAAAGACTAAATACACTAAAATATACAATTCATACTAAATATTAAATCTGAGTTTAGTGTTTTAATTTTTGTACATTATACAATAAAGATCTCTCTTAGTACACTGATGGTTACATGATACTAGTCTCTTAGTACACTGATGATCACATGATACTAGTCTCTGAGTTCCTACTTAGTCTCTACTAGTACCTCTTGCATTCATTTCTTGTAATGATAAAAAGTTGTTTTGGTAAAAACAATAAAAAAAAAAAATTTGATTTAAAGCAGAGTTGTTAAAGGCCAAATATAGCAAGACCAAGGCCACATGCTCCAAGGCCAAGACCAAGGTCAAGGCCAAATGTTCCAAGGCCAAGGCCACATGTTCCGAGGACAAGGCCACATGATCCAAGGTCAAGGCCACAAGTTCCAAGGCCAAGGTCAAAGCCATATACAAGAATTTCAAAGCCAAGGACAAGGTAAAGAACACATCCAAGTATTTCACGGGGTAAGATTTAAATTTTGAGCTGCAAACAACAAATCCGCATGTTTCAAAATTAAATCAAGGTTATGCGTATATATTGTCAAAAGAAAATATATTAGAAAATAGATATATAGTAAAGCCAAATATTCTTTATATACTTCTTTTTATAGAACTTTCATACTTTTTAAATAAAAACTTTTCTTTAAATAAATATTTTATTCTGAATGAAAATTTTAAAACCGTTCAAATTTTAAATTTCCAAAAAACAAATTTTTCATACATTCTATATATTGTCTTCAAAATGTCACAAG